GAACTTAATTTACCACAATAAATATTACTGACATATGTACCAGAGCTGTTGACTTGGCATGAGCAGTGTTTTCCTTCCTTCTGGGGAAATCAAATTGAAGTCTAAAGTTGAGCCTGGAGTCAAAACGAACATTCCTTTCTTTAAAGGAAGTAATACTTACGACAATCGTAGTTACCACCATGGGTTTTTGAGTCAGAGAGATGGTCCAGTTACAACTCAGCCTCTAATTGTGTGACATCAGGTAAACCACTTAACCTCCCTGAATTTTAGTTCCCTTGTTTTAAAATACAGATTGTAGTACTTACATTTGAGGGTTGTTGGGATTAAATAAGACTATGTATATAAAGTGCTTAGTGCAATGCCTAGAATATAATAAATGATCACTAAGTGGTAGCTGTTACTTTGAATTCCTCATTTAAATGAAAACATTAGCGGTATGATGAGATTCTAAAATGCGATAAGATTTTTTAATTGAATTTTTTTTTGCTAAATAAATGAACTTTATAATAGTAGATTGTGTGGACTCTGGAATAAATTATCTATTACCTATTATGAAACACTGAGAATTCCGAACTCTCTTAAGTTGTTTGAGAATTTCCCAGGGGGAGATTTTGCATCATAGAATTGGTGATACTCTGGATTTGTGTATGTGCATGTGTGTATGTGTATTATGTATATGCTTATTTTTACATATGCTGCTTCATTAAGACATTTTCATTCTTTAAAAATAATTAGTTTTGCCATATTCTCTGTTTGCGAATGTAGTCAAGAGAAGTAGTTAATAGGCAAAGAAGACTGGAAATTTTCATAGTCACTTTCCTTAATTAAATTGAATATAGTCATTAAATACTAATTTTTGAATCCTCAGTCATGTTAAGCAATGTGAGTTTCTGAGAGATTTTGTCTTCTTAATAGTATATTATTTGCATCTTCATATCTAGTGCATTTTGCTTTTATTTTGACTGTCTCTATTTTTTACATCGTTAACACTTATCAGTTAATCAGCTTCATTTAAATTTATAATAATCTCTTCTGATAATGTAAAAAGAGCTCAAATTCCATAATGATTTTCAGTACACTTTTCGACTTTGCCACCATCAAAAGCGGCTGTTGTAATAATTTATCCTATCTGCAAAGAATGTGATTAGCTAATAGGCCATGATATGTAGGTAACAATGAGTATGTTATATGAAAAATTGAATAGCTCATAAGCATTTTCTAAGAAGTAAAATGTTTGCCTAAATGAAATATATTTCAATTGCCTTTGACATAACATCTGTATGTCATTGATGTTTTTGGGCACATTTTACACGGAGATGTATAATATCCAATTATTTTTTGTGGCACAAATGTGAAACAAACTTTACTGTCTTAGCAAATGATGAAGAAAGAAAGGATGGAGGTAAGCAATGGATGGATATTGCCTTTAAGCAAAGAACCTATGGAGAAGAAAAAGTTTGCAAACATAGCACAAAAATGCATAGTAATTACACATTAATGTGTATATACATATACACAGATGACATGGATGTCAGGCAGTTTCATTTAGGTTAGATTATATGTATGATAACCCCTTGGAGAGTGATTGGAAATGACAGGTCTTATCTAGAATAGCCAAAGCTGCTTGTCATGTCTGCCACAGTGTCACGGATGGTGACAGAAGACATGGGATTCCTGTGTTGAGACGAAGGATAGTTTATTACTCACAGCAGTAGAATTGCCAGAGTATCAGCATTCCCTCTGGTTCCTTGAGCTTCAGTTCACACACAGCAACATGAAAAAGGTCAGATGATGCCCGCTCATGTAGTGAGTTTGCTTTGGGGGGGGGGGGTTTTGATTTTGGGGACTTCGGTTTTTTTAAATTAACTTTTTTTGGCTTTTGCCTTGGGGGGGGTTTTTCCTTTTTTTGACTTGGAAATTAACCAACCTTGCCCTTTTTTTTGGGGGGGGCTTTTTTTTTCCTTGGTTTTTTGTTTTCCAACCTTCTTTGAAAGGTTGTTGCGGAGGAGTTCGTTCTTTGGCTTTGCCGTTTTTTTGGAACTCTTTGAGGATTTTTTTTTCCAGTTAGGGGTTGGGACTTTTTTCAAAGGGGATTTTTTTCGGGTTTTTTTCTTCCCCTTCCTTTCCCCCCCGGCTTTTTCGTTTCGTATATGTACCCTGTTCAACAGGTAAGGTACAGAGACAGAGAATGAGTGGAAATGTTATCTGAGACACACATTAATAACTCTTAACCTTTTGCCACATTACTTTTTCATTCTCTTTCCCTTTAGCCCTAAATAGTCAATGATTGTAGATGTGAGTGTGATTTGTTAGGCCTTTGCCTGATGTTGGTTACTTCAGGATCTCCAGGATTTCTTTGGCATATGAGACTATCTCATGATTACTTATTTCCATAAGAATCCCCCCTGGAGTATCATGCTGATCCCACTAAAATAGAAAATTTGCCTTTGGCTAAGTGCAGGGTTACTGTGATCCCCTACTGGAAAACTGGTAGTTGATGAACAAATGTTTATTTGTTACATAACATTGTGTATGTGTGTAACAAATGGATAATATTTTTGCTAGTCTCTGTCGAGTTTTCTATTGGGCAAGATTTCTGCAGCTTCTCAAATTGAGCATATCTAAAAGAAAACTCTTAATTCTTCCCTTGGCCATCTGGTCCATCTGTTTTCTCATTGCTGTTAACAGTGCTGTTTTATGGGAAACAAATTTTAACATTCGAGAAC